TCATGCGGCATAATTGATACTATAAGCCATTCTTGCCCTGCATCCCTTGTTTAGATGCAAGTGACTCACCTGAATCACATAAAGTAAAGATTTTGATTGGTGCCTTGTCTGGTTTACCCAGACGCCAAATTAATGTGCTCAGTGATGATGAACGTGATAGGGTGACAAAAATATTTTCCATCCTCGATGACTTGTATACAAAGAAGGTTCCTGTGTCTGTTTTACGGTCACAATTTTTTGGTTGCGTGCAGAAACCAGGCGAGTCTGTCCAGGCGTATGGGCTCCGGTTGAGAGAGCTGTACCAAAAATTACAAAAACATGATGAAACAGAAGCACCCACTGATGCCCATCATTGGGTGCGTTCATACTGCAGCCTGAAGTGACCCAATTCCGATTTTTTTGCCGGGGTTGTTCACACTGCCAGTAAATGCGACCTGTAAGCATTCTGCAGTGTGAACGGGCAAACGACCTGAAAGTGTCCCGCATGCGCACTAGAGGGCACAATAGCGTCAGCGTTCTCAGTGTTCTGTCAACTGCCATAAAAAGAAGAAGTGCTCAGTGTTTGTGGAAGTAAACATGGAGGCTAACGGTGGAGCTTAGCTTACACATTTGAAGTTGTTGTCCGGCCGGAGAAGCATATTAACAACTTAATCCTCATATTGTCCATCATGGTTGTTGTTTTTCTTCCCGCTTGCATGTATCAGGATGCAGAATAGTGAGATTTGTTGAGAATCAGTGACGTTCAGTTCTGATGAATGCGACTTGAACGTTAGGTCGCATTTGAATCGGATACGTATCAGATATGGGTCACATTCGTAAAAGAAACCGACCTGTACTGTTCACACTACCGTGAAAAGATCGGATACAGGTCGCATTACGTCAAAAAAATTGCAATTGGGTCACTTCAAGTTGCAGTGTGAACGCACCCGTTTAGGGACCAATTCCTGCTTGGCCTGGAGTATGGTGCCATACTTCAGATGTTCAGATGTTAAAGCGAGTTGTGCGCCTGGGCCCTGATGCAATCTTCAGTGCTGTTCAACAGGAGGCTCTTCTATTGGAAGAAGAACAAAGTCCAAGATGGCCTGAAATGACATGTGCTGCGGTAAGGGACCCTAACACTGTTCGATCTCACCAACAGAGTGACGTGTGGAAAGAGGAGCTGAAAAAGGAACTCATGGAGGAGGTGAAGGCCTAGATGAAGGACCTTGCCCATGAGTTAATCAAAGACCAGAGATCAATGGGCCCCACACAAACATCAGTATGCCCCAGGACCATCCCTCCACATCCCCGGGGGAAACGGCACCCGGACTGTCACACCAGCTACCGATGGGACGAGGATGGTAGATCCATTTGTAGGGTGTGCAAACAACTGGGTCATATCGCCCGATTTTGTACAGAGTCCTCAGTAAACCAGCCAGCTTTAAACTAGTGCACCCTACTGTAGAGGCCCATGCAGTGGGGTTAGGTCAACAAGACCAGAGGGCCACTACTAATTTAGTGGGGAACTGCCCCTATGTGGATGTGTTCGTGGGAGGAATTAAGTTAGAGGGACTTTTGGATACTGGCTCACAAGTGACTCTTATGCAACAGAGCCTTTTTCTCAAACACTTCCCTGACTGTCATGTTAATAATGCTCCTACTTACATCCAGCTTAAGGCAGCGAATGGCCTGAAGATCCCCTGCATAGGCTACGCCCTAATGGACTTTAAGATTGAGGGTGTTGATATTAACCAAAAATGTGTTTTTGTAGTGACTGATGAATGCTCCACCAATCCCTTCATCAGTGGTATGCATATAATCAGACCTTGCTGGAATGTGGTTTTCCGTAACCCTGGGAAGCCTTTGTCCTTTTTCCCTTCGCCAGAGGACAGCTGTTGCCACAGAGGACGAGTTCAAGGGATACGTCTAGCCAGCTCAGAAACGAGGGGTCAAGATTCCAGCAAGAAGCGATGTGGTGATCTGGGGACGAGCTCGGGGAGGATCAGCAGGGAGAGACTACTGTGGCCTGGTGAAAGCCCTGGAGGAGCTCAACACTGTCTCAGTGGGCCGCACCCTTGCTGTCGTCAGAAATGGTAGGCTCCCTGTTCGTCTGAAAAGTCGGAATAATTTTCCAGTCACCCTAGGGCGCTACCAAAAGATTGGCCGCCTCTACCAAGTCGACAACATGGATGTCCACGGAGGTCGAGATGTTGACCTGGCTGTTGATGACAGCTGCATGGTACAGGCCAGGCTGGTGGAAGCTGTGGATTCCCTAGAGGAGAGCCAAAGCTTCAGCCTATAGAGGCTAGTGGAATAACCAGGTTTAACACCTGCCGAAGCCGGTAAGTTGACCACCCTACTTCAAAAATGGGAAAGTGTTTTCTAAACATGATGAGGACTTTGGTCGGACAGATGCCGTCAAGCACACCACTTCAATGGGAGATGCATGCCCTACAAGGGAGAGATTCAGACCACTGCCACCACTCATGTATAAAGAAATGAGGTCACTGCTCCTTGGGCTAGCTAAGACTTCATTCTTCCTCATACAGACTGATCCACTGACTGTCGCACATACTTGCCTTGCATCCTTTTTTTTAGTGACTCATTTTTAAATAAATTATTAACTTTTATTGACTCGTTTTTAAAGCCCTGCTCACACTTCTTGCAGTTTTTATTACACGGGTTCCACAGATAAATGAGGGCATCGTTAGTTGTATTATCTTAACTAGAATGTTTAGTATGCAAAAACTCACAGGTTTTGGGGGAAAATATGAATAACTTCTTCTAGGTTCTGTAAAACCTGAGACATGTTATTTCCAGCATTTGTCTAAAATCACATATTTCCTGTGCAAACATTTCACCGTGGTCCCTCTTATGAGGACTGTCACACTATTTATACAATAACTCTTGATGCAGCAATGCAGGTATTTGTACAGCTAAACCAGCAAGAGGACAGGAAGCATGATGTTTGAACCTAAAAATCATTGCTGTAAATTACTGAGTGATAGAAGTCCTTGGAGCTATGGAGTACAGTAATGTAAGAAAGCAGCAGGATCATTTCAAAGTGTTTGCTCTCTCACACACTCACTGACGTCAGCAATGAAACCTGATCCTCTGGGTCAGGGGCATGCTTTGAATCCATTCTCGCCTAAGCTGTCATTGTGAAAGAAAATGAAATGTATAAGAAGTGAGTGTTGCCTCCTCCCAGATAAAGCAAGTTCCAATTTCTTCAACAGCAATACGATCGCGTTCGGAAGTAGTCTGGCTAAAGGTTATCAACAAATCCTCCCACAGCACAGGAAGATGACAGTCTACCTGTCCTTTAAAATCCTCTCATACCTGATAATCCACCACACCGCTTTTAAAAGAGGTGCTTGGAAAGGATGAGCTACAGTCATATGTTTTATTATTATTGAAATACAAAGAAGGCTCAGCAGAATGCACAGCAGCACAGAACATTTCCCACTAAAGTTTAGATCCAGGTGTACGGACAGAACATTTTGTCATTACCGATATGATACCAGCTTTATTTTTGGACGTTTCAAACCTCTAACACTGGATTGTTTTAATTTGCCTGATTGTAATAGATTTATTATTTATAGAAGAAGATTTTCTTCTATAACAAAAATCAAATCCCTTTTAGTTAAATGTTGTTTTCCTGTTGGGCACATATATTATGTTGCTCTAACATTAATAGGGACATTTGGTTTGATTTTCTTTTTCCTCTAATTAATAAAATCTTAATTAGCAAACAGCTTTTTATATTTACTTAGGGGTTTTTTGTTGGTATTGATTTAAAAACATATTTGGTGATCTGAAACATTTAAGTGTGACCACAAAAAAGGAAGGAAAAACAAGAATTCTTTAATGGAAGCAAATATTTTTTCATAACATTGTTTATGTGAAATGACTGTACAATAAATTGCTCATGCAGTCTAAACTCTTCTGGGATTTTAAGTGAGTGATGACATACCTAAATGTTCAAATGATGTGGAGATACCTCTTTTGAATGAAATATTTCTCCTCAAATTGTTTTCCCAGCAGGAAATGAGAATCAGCTAACCGAAAAACCAGGTGCTATAGCTCTTTGTTCACAACAGATGGAGTCTGGCAGCAGCTTCTAAGATTGAAAAAATATCATAAAATTATGCCACTCCCCTGAAAATGAAAATAGGAATAACCTTTACACTGCACTTTTACAACATCTAAATAACATAGTCTCACAGATTGTCTTAAAGTTGAGCAAATTTGCAATGCACAGATCATACTTGATTTAGTCCTGACAGAACCATTTGTTTTACAGAGCAGGGCTCAGGGTTTTAATAGATGCTAACAGGTAACAGAAGAAGCTCATTGTAAACATGAGCTGCTGAAAAGTCAAGTCAGAATCACCTTGAAACCACTAGTAAAGAATTTGATTTCTGTTCTTACAGGTGTATAACGTGCATAAGTAACAGGACAGGTACCATTGTTAAAAGGTTATCTAAGGTCAGCACAGTATTTTATTGACATATTTTAAGATCTTTCTTTGTATTGGAAGTGACCTTTTACTGCCGCTAGGCTAAATGCTAATAACTGTTAACTGCTTCTAACTATAGTTAGCTTCCTGCTTTGGGAGCAGTCTCCACTCCGCTTGCATTCACATGCAGTGGAACTGCATGGAACATGCAGTTCACTTCAACCGAACAAAGACACAGGTTTTTAGGCAGATCACCATTCATGTTTTTGATTTGCATCAGAGTTTGATTGCACATTCACACCTCCACAAACAAACCGGACTTTCTATACAAACAAATCAGAGTTTGATTAAAGCAGACTAAACAGGGCTGAATGTGAATGCAATCTTAGTTTCACCAGACATTTATTTCTCTCTGGGCCAATGCAGCAATGTGCTATTAATTGCAGAGTTTATGCAATTAAGCTGCGTCAGCTGAACTCTGGTTCGGTTGGGTGTGTGTGAATGTGTAATCAAACTCTGATGCAAACTCTAGTCTGCCTGAAAACATAGAACTCGATTCAATTGAAATGAACTCTGATGCGGCTAAGACGCATGTGTGAACGCCAAGTGGAATGGAGACCGTTCCAAAAACAGGAAATGAACTAATGCGCCAGGCATTCTGGGTCAGTCGTGGGAAGAAACGAAGTACAAGTACTTCGTTACTGTACTTAAGT